TTTTCTCATTGTTAAGAGTGCAATGGTTGATGTATCAAGTATTTCGCCGTCACGGATATACCTAATGACTAATGATTGAAACATATTAATATTAATAGGTAGTAAAATACACATTTCTTTTCAACTATTTAAGTTTTGAATTATTAGGATTAATAGAAGTTGTACTATTATTAGAAGTCAGTGTGAAGTGGATTAATAGAATACTTCTGGCAAATAATCTACAGTTATATTGTAATTTGATTTACCGATTAGTTATATATACATCACTAAAACTACATAATACACATGTCGTAAGTATTCCAGCTCCAGTATTCAAGTAAAACACTATTTAATAATTTAAAATTAGTAATTCAATATTAAACTAAAAATAAATAGATATGTCAACATTGATTAAGTTGTGATTGAAAACGACAACGTATTATGAGAATTTATGATGAACCCTGTGTTGCTATTATCTATTCTGGGAGAAAGTTATAAAAATAGTCTTGAGTGAAGGTTTTTAGTTTCTTGTAACGATTTATTTAATTTAAATGTATGGTGTACTTTTTTAATTTATAGACATAAGCTCATAATCATAATGTAGTGCATTCTTGGTATAGGACCACTATTTATCTTATAAACTAGAACTTCAATATAAATCCTATAAATTTCAATGATTGCAGCAATGAGACCCAAACTCTGATAAAACAAACCACAAGCTCTGTGCTGTGTTGTTACGATAATATAATATAATGTCAAAAGCAGATAAATCAGCAGACTTTGATTACACATTTCAAGGACGTCGTACTTTGTATATATTTTCATACAAATCGCACTTTAGAATTTGTGTATAAATTGATAGGATTTAGTTGTTAATATTTTGCGTAAATGTGATCTGACAGCATTACAATTCATGTTCGTGTTCTAAAAATATGTTAGATTTACAAGTTTCTTGATCTAGGTCAGGAATAATAATAGGCACAACCAAAATCGTAAGTTAACGTTTAATTAGGCTATTGTGCTGAATTATTACGCGTAGACCCTGACCTAGACTTTTAGGATTTTACATACTTCTAAAAAAAAACAAATTAAATAAGTAATTACAATGCCAGCACTGCGCAGCCGACCCGGACTCCGCCCAGCACACGCAGGAAGACTGCCCCGCGTGGGCGTCTGAACGCGAAGTTCTTTTCGGCCAAATTGGACGAGACCTGTCCCTGCCAGCAATTATTGCTGCCCTGCTAGCTGGTGAGAACGGATAGGGCGCAGTGGTCTCTTTCTGTGAAGCTGTAATGCTCCAAAAAGAGACTGCTGAACGGGATCGGGAGATTGCCGATCCCGAACGTAGAGGACGTCGGCGACGATACTAGCCGTCGATAGGGCCGCGTTCCGCCAGAGGGTGTTGACCTCTGGTGGCAGATTGATTGCTGCGGTAGGGGATAGAATGGCAGCCTGATTGCATGAAGATCAAATCGAGCCGCCACGCCGCGATTAAGGGGAGCAGTATTTTTGTGTGTGGGGATAGGGCCTGATTAGGAATGGTGTCAATTCGGGGAGGACCTGAAATAACATGGTTCGGGTCCTCCCAGAGTAGGACACCTGCGGCCGGCCGTTGGGGTGGTTTTAAGTGGACTCACCACATACTCCTGGCTCCTGAGTCCCCGAGGAGCAGGAGATCTGAAGGGATTTTCCACTCCGTCAACAAAAAAAAGGAATATGCCTTATTAATTGTTATGTGTAATTAATAAGCTGCGTTGCTATGAGTATTATTGATAGAACAAAAGGTAAAGTGGATATATGTATGCAAGGCAAACAAGTTTGGTGAAACTTGTGTTAGTACAGGAGTCTTTGAGACATTTTTATGTGTTCAGTGATTTTACTCTCTAAGTATAAAATCTCGTAAGATAAATTGAATTCCTGTAATTATATACTTTCCCATTAACAAATCCCTCCCTTCTCCAATATAAAATCGGTATCTAATGTCTGTGTTTTTTTTTGTCATTAATCTTTTACTTGTGTAATAAATTGGATATGGAATATTTATCGTACCTTAAAAACAAAAAAGAAACAAAAATAAACAAGTCCGAAAATATTACCACTGATACAAAATGAACAATTATCTTCTCTTCTAGAAATGGGTGTACTATTTCATTCAATCTCGAGACCCTTGACATACTTGTAGCAAATACTTCTAAGTATTATGTTGTACTTGTTGTACTTATATATGGCGACAGTCGACCAACACATAGCTGCAATACTATGTGAGTATAGGTAAGTGGCCATGACGTTCAATTCGTAATTCAAATTGTAGATCGCTTCTTGGTCAAATTTTAACCACAAGTTAATAATTTTCTACTGTAACATAAACGTGACTAAAAACTTATGTTTTTTTCATTCATTCATTCTTTTAGTATAAGTTTAATTATCATTTTACAGACTTTTCATATCTTGACAGGTCGAATATGTGCCGAACATGTGTAAACTATTCCTAGAAACTTTTTGAAATAGATATTATATTATAAAACTATATAATGCACTAGAATTGTAGAAAGCTGATTTTTTACATTCATCTTTTTACAATTCTAGTACATTTTCGATTTAACCTTACATAAACTATAACTTAAATAATTTCATGTCACCTCAGCTCAGAAATATGTTTATGAGACCCTAAATATTAACATAGCATGCATCATATTATGGGGTTGCTGAACATGCTTCACACTTCACAAAAAACTAATTAGAATTTTGGTTAATATAGAGGACACCGGTAGCTGTAAACAATACTTTAGAGAACAACATTCTAACACTGTCATAAATTTATATTTTGGAAATATGCAAATTCGTACGTAAAAACCAACATCAGTTCACAAAAAGAGATGATAAACAAAAAACCACAAATTACGCCATAGGACTATGCTAAACCTACCCTCTTCCCGACTTTAAATTTACTTAAATAGGACTCAAGTAATGTCAATCAAAATTTACAATAAATTACCCGAATTAATTAGAAATGAAATGACAAGACCATACTACAGGACATCTTCATCTATACAAATAAATAAAATTGGAGTGTCTGTTTGTAAAATTAAAATAACCACTTTTCACTAAATGCATATGTATGTTTACACATCATCACATCAACAGCCTATACTAGTCCACTGCTGGACACAGGCCTCTCCTTAGAAAGGAGGTTTTGGCCTACTATACCACGCTGGCCAAACGGGTTGGTATAGGGTTTGTTTCAAGTTTTCCTTCTCTTTGCAGTGCTGTTGTTCTGCTTAGTTTGCTCCCTTAGTCGGCTCTTAGGACACCCACGGGATGAATTGGGGTGGTGACATGGTGTTTACACGGTACATATGCTAAAATAACATTTTTTACAAATTTTGTCTGTCTGTCTGTCTGTTTGTTCCGGGTAATCTCTGGGTAATCGCTTTTTATTTTAGACTAGCTTCGCCCCGCGGCGTTGCCCGCGGTTATAACACCAAACGCGGGTAGCACCGCGGGTCTCAGATAGTATGCAATATAATTTAGGGCCCGTTCTGCTCCTGTCGGCACGACACGCGACGACGCGGCGACGGCCACACAACCCGCATTTTAAACCTCTAATATCTTCTAAAGTATTTATTTTAATGATATACTGTAAAGAGTAATTCTCTCCTCCTCCTCCTCCTCGCTTCGGTTGCCTCAATGCTGAGGGTCGTGACCGCTTCCTCGCAGTAAGAGGACACCAAAATATAAATTTATGACAGTGTTAGAATGTTGTTCTCTAAAGTATTGTTTACAGCTACCGGTGTCCTCTATAAAGAGTAATTCTAATCTACACTAAATGCACAATGTATCTAAGGTATTTTATTGGATAAGGAATAATAATGTATTGTTTAAAATACTATTGTATAAACATTTAAAAGATAAAAATAGATACTGTGGTTTATCCTTAGGAAGTAGACATATACCATCGTAGACATTTTTGTAGACAAACTTCTCCGGGTTTTTTTTTTAAGTTTTTCCCGGTTTAAGATATACAATTCCGTAGTACATTATATTGGTCTATCTCGTAAAGTTTAGCCACTGTTTGCAATGAAAGCGCACAAAAACATGTTTTTAAAATTCTCGGTTTTTCTTTGCTACAATAAGCATTTATTATAATAAACCTTCCTCTTGAATCACACTCTCCATTAGTGAAAACCGCATTAAAATTTGTTGTTTACTTTAGAACATCTAAGCGTACAAGAAAAAAACGACTTTATTTCATACTATGTAACGATGATTTCTAAAATTCTATCACGAAAATGGTATGAGACTAAGGGGATAAAAAAATGCTACATTAATCAAAGGCGTTTGTATCTGAGGTATAGAGAGTCAGCTTTCAAGAAATGTATTTTTAATGATATAATAGTTTTTGTTCTATCTATCATATTTCTAATAATATACAATATACATTTCATATAATATAACAAGATACATTTTCGAATTAAATTTAAAATGAATCTGTGCTTTTAAAAGTATTGCAAGACAAAGTTCCTTACTATTTGTAACTTAACTAGGTAATCATCATACTTCTAAAGTTCTTCTAGAAAACACAAAATTTTGAATAACGGATAATACTGTTTTAAAAGGAATCCAGTGAAGAAATTGCTATTTAGATGGATAGAAAAAAAAAGTTAATATGAGTTTATAAAGAAAATATAATATTTACCCGCTATCTAATCAGTCAAAGTACAATTAGTGTAATGAGTTCCGTATTGTGCATTTAATACTATAAATTTGTTTACAAAAACGCCACAAAATCTTTATACGATCCAACTTACCTACACAAAGTTCCTATCTTTATTTTATTCTCGGTGTTAAGGACGGCCAATAGACTTACAGGCCATGGCTCGTTAGTGATAAAAAATGATCAATGACATTCCAGAGCCGAACAACGGCGTACCTACTACGAAACCATTAAAAAAAGGATAAGGCAGACTGCGTGTTGGCAACCGAATTGAATACAGGTAAAATAAATTATTGAGAATACTTACCGAGCTGTAGCTTGCTCATCACAATTGAATTCACAGTACATGTTATATTTTTGAATTCAAGTTCAATGGTAGACCGGGGTATTAAGGGCAAAACATTATTGTTTGCCCCTAACATTGTCAACTCTTCCGCGCCCGGAGACATCTTCACCTCAACACGAACCCTCAACACGAACACTCAACGAACAGCACGTCTTCTTCTCACTTTATATTTTTGGTTTCTCGCTCACACTACTGTATCTTTTGATCGGTTGGAACCACAAATAAACTGTCTATGATTTTGATTTAGTAGGGGTGCTCCATTGGCGTGTAACTGTAACAAGAAATGAAAAATAAAAAGTGGTGCTTATGAGTAGAAGTAGTAATGTATTATAAAATAATCAATTTTCAAAATTGTGAATAATATTGTTGGCAAAGAATGATATCCTACTTAGGTGTAACCGTGTACTTAGTAAAGTATAGGTATTGCGTCACGGCTAACTCTCTCTCTCTCTCTCAAAAAAGCAATAATTTAGCTGCGGTCTTATATAAGTCTGTGTACATTTACTCATATTTTTGCAACTCCATAGTTTTTATTTTTCAAATATATGTGATCTACTTTATTACTTTTCACATTGTTAGTTTTAATAGAGTTGAGACTTGCAAGAATTGTGACTAACTAACCTAGTTTTTGTTGACTTTCTTCTTTGGTTATTATTGGTTTTTGAAGTTATGTAGCTGAATAATGTCTGACAGGGCAATATGAAAAAAGTGCCGCCTGAGCGTGACACAGATATCTAACTTTAAATACTGATTACGGTTTATGAATATGTAACACTACGAGTTGCTATTTATAGCATGAATACACATCATAAAGTTATGATAGAAAAATGTATGTAATCTGTATAGGACATTGTACAAAAAATATTTTAACTAGTATTAGCTTAATATTAAATAAGTTGGATATTCCTAAATTCATATAATTGTAATCTCTGTTTAAGTATTTATATTTATGAAAATGGAGCACTCTGTTAATTCCAACATGTTATGCCGATGCCGATAAGCCTTATCTCAAAATGATTTAGTTTTATTTTTTATAAGTTCCACTACGTAAGTATTATTATATACACATCAGCTATATCTTAAGGAAGAACTCAACTTCCTCTCGGAAACCTGTGTACAATGACATAAATAGCAATAGCTTCATAATTTTTTTACCTATTACCGCTATAAAGATAATATTAATTTCTTATCTATGTTCTGGTTTCTTCCTACTGACATGTGATGACCTTCTAATTCTAATTGACAATAATATAATAATATATCTTACACATCTCACACACGGCCGTCTGATCCCAAACTAGGCAGAGCTTGTACTATGGTAACCAGACTGCTGATAAACATACTTACATATTTTTAAATAGATACGACCTTGCTCATTACACATATTTGTCCTGGGTGGGCATCGAACCCACGACCTCCGGTTTACCAGTCAGGGTCACCAACCACTAGACCAACAGGCCCGTCAACAATGGAATAGTTCGTATCATTCATCACTATTTTGTTTACTCTTTATCGTCCAACCTTGATAATTGAAATAAACTGTAACATTTTTAAGGGACACGGACTGTAGCACTTAGTCAACAGTGTCATTGATTTTTAAAACACTTCAAAAAGTCAAACACAATTCGACTGTTTTTTTTTAAATAAAACTTCTTTACGCACGCTTGACTTGTTGAGTAAGCTGGTGAAGCGTTACGAAAAGTGTGGTCGGGCGAGGCGAACGCAAGTTGAGAGGGAGATATAAGTTAGTCAAGTTAGAAAGAGAGCGAGTTACGTTTCGTATATTACTGTAGGGGCAAGAGAGAGAGGTGCGAGCACACATTTTCTTTCTCTCTTTTTCTGATTTATTTAAGTAAGTTTTACTTCAATCGTGTGGGCTAAAGCATACTCGTTTTTTTGTATGTTTGTTACACGATATCTCCGTCAATATTGTGGACCGATTTTTTTAATTATTTTTAATTACAAATTATAAAAACAGACAAGAAGGTAAGACTTCAAACAGACTAAAAGTATTGCTATTATAATGTTACCTGTTATACTACTACTACTCGCACTTATTTTGTTTTTTTTTCAATTAGATGTGTAATTATTTTTAAATTTTTAGTGTTCTTTGTTAGTATTGTTTAAAGTCATTTCAATTTTCTTTTTTTAAAAAGATTTATTAGACTTATGATGAACAAACACGAATAAACCGCAAGTTCTTCTCAGTGGACTCTGTAGATCTCAAACTTGACAGCGTTCATAAACCGATCCGTATGCGATGATTGTATACATCGGATAAGGTCTAATCTAAAGAATCTTCCATTATTGGTCTTCCGATAATCTCAACTCATTCGAACAGCAAAGAAAGATTGCTTGACACCCGTTTTCTGTCAAGTCGGCCGTGCCTTTCACACCAAATAACAATAGTTTTATACTATATAACACATTGTAATATTTCGCAATTTACTAGAAGATAAATAACTTTACGGTGTAGGCTGTCAGATTATGAAACAGCTTGGCGATATCCATAAGACGTGCCCAAACACTGCTAGCGTTTAAGAATATGGTCAAAGATCACTACTTATGTAGGTTCATAAGTACTCTTTGCTTTCAATAGCTAAATGCACTGTGATTTCATGGTTATAAATATATATTGTATATATTTATAGTGTATAAATATGTATGTGTGTGTATGCCTATATTTATATATTTATCTTTACACTACAGTAGCTTCAATACCACCTAGACTACCCATTGTTTCTTTTCATTTCCTCATACAGTCGATTTGTCAATCCAAGGTTGACTGTAAGAGCAATATGTCCATGTGTTACATAACTGTTTTATTATTACATTACTATAAATTAAAGAAATACTAAATCCTGGTATCAGACAGTCCAAGTTACAGGTATGCGGCCTTGTCCAGCTGAGCTATTGACCGTATCGTATAAACCTATTTACGAACCCCTATTGAGGTAAATATGACATCACGGAATTAATAATAGTCCGCAAAATTTGAGCGATAAATACGCCTCTACGATCCCCCTTCTAATCGTAGTAGCGATATTGCAACTAAATCCTACTAAGTATATATTGCTACATTAATGGACCCTTGCTCTCAAAATTCAAATTACAGCTCAATAATGTGTTAAAAAAATCAAGTCGTTAATATTTAATTGTAATTTGTTAGTTATAATTTATAGGTAACGAAAAAATTAAGGTGGTATCGAATGTTCTTTTAATTATGCACTATTTTAATTATCTCAAACATGACCTTGTTCGTATACTTAAGGCGGGCAGCACGGTACCCTTTTTCTTCCGACTGACGCACGTCCTTGCCGGGCAAGGTTGCTTCGGGAAGTAGTGACCACTGCGATTGCAGTGAGGACTCGGCCAGCACACGCTGGCAATTTGCCCGGCTTGGGCGTCGCAGCGTCGGGTCCTCATTGCAGTCATCGGGGGAGATCTCTCGCTACCAGCCGTCATACGCTGCATGGCCGGTAGTGATAGTTGTTTTATCCTTCTGCGAAGATGTTATCTTGCAGAAAGAGGGGCGGTGAGGGCCCGGGAGGATAATCTCCACTCGGAGCCAATTCGCCCCCGACAAACCGGGCATCGGAGGCGCGCTTACCAGCGCCGCGACGTCCCACGCCATTGCGGACAAGCCCTAGGACGGGTCCGGATGTCTTAATAGCAGCAGTTCCCGGATCCCCCCTATTACAGGCGCAGAGTTGCACACCGTGTGGTTTTCTGACACACCACCCCGCCGTAAACCCCGGTGGGTGAGGGCCCAAGGGTTTTCCACACGCAAAAAAAAGAGTTAAACAGTGTTATCATATGAAAACTTGCATCATTACGTGGTTTACTGATTATACGATATTTTGATTGAGTTCACGCTTTTCCCAGACTTCTGACTTCAACAGGCATCTGGGAGCATATTTTTTGGGTGCATTGTATTGTGAAACCACATTAGAAGTGAAGAGAAAATAGCGTCAAGAAGCATTCTGTTTTTTGATGAAAAATTTACTTATACTTGGTGGCAAAAATAGTAATAAAACATCAAGCGCTGTTTAGTACGTAGAATGGTTTAACTGTTCGATTATTTAATAACCACGCCCTTGAAATCAACAAAAGAAGATATTTCATTAAAGCATGAAATATATTAAATAATATTGATACTTCATTTAAATTAAACATAACTTTTAGGTAAGTAAGTAGGTAAGAAGGAAGTATAATGAAGAATATAATACCGTTACTTAATTACTAGTTGTTAAACCTTACTAAATATGTTATTCATGAATGTTTAGTATAGTTTAATTCACCACAAAAAATAACTCCTATTATTCGTTATGTAGAGGGCCATAAATATTCATACATTGTAGGGCAGGTCAAAACAATTATATTGCATGTGCACGTAGTTAGCGTTTAGCACGTGTTGTACTTGTTACAGATCAGCGACCCGCCCGGCGTCGCACGGGCGCAATGCACATACTAAATTTCTTTATATACAGGTGTTTTTTCATTAAACAACACAAATATGTATGTTTTCTTTAGATGTTACTATGGCAAGCGCTGCGACCCTGATACCTTCTAAGAAATGCGTTTCAATAAAAAGCTGAAAGGGCAGTTTTGAACCACATTAAAATAATGCACAACGTATAAAACGTATTTAATTGGTTAAAGCATAATACTGTTAATAAAACAATAATCCAATCTGTTTAAAATAGCTCCGTAAATTACCCATTTTTTTGTTGTAAAATCTAACATATAAAAATGGTTATTGTGGGAGTTAGAAATATGCTATCTCGGACTTTTTTGTAGATATTCATTACATACTATTTCCTTTATTTTGATCTATCTCGTAAAGTTTAACTAGCGTTTGCAATCTAAGCGAATAAAAATATATTTTTTCTATTGATGAAAACCGCATTAAAATCCATAGCGTAGTTTGAACGATCGTAAAAAGAACGTACAGAAGGCGGGAAGCAATTTCGTTTATACAATGTAAAGATGTTTTATTGTTTTGCGGCTTCTGCGTTAGGATCATTGTGGGGCTATTTTTTTTTACATTTATTATGAATGTAGTTAAATGAGTTTTAACTAACCATTTTCATCCAACAGTAT